CTGAGGAGGAAACGCAAGCATGTGCCTGATCATTATGGCTAGTCTAGCAAAACAAAGCTAAGTAAAATAAATCTCACATTGCGACTTGCTCAGTTTACGGGATGGCTGTATGCCTAGGTCATTCTCATCTGTGAAGGTCTGCGTTGTTCCATTCCTTGTACCAAATGACAGTCCTGAAAGCTGAACTAACTCCTGTGATTGACTTACATGAGTTGTAAGCTAGCCTGTTAGTGGTAAATAGCGCTTTTTTCCATGTAGACTTTTACAATAGAGGTAGATTTTTTGTCTTTTTTGTTTTAGAGGGAGAAGCAAGTGGAAAGGCTGAACTCAATTAAATACATTACAGATCGCATATTAGTGCCATTTAAGCAGGTCCTTTCTTTCTTTAGCTTAGTTCGATGTAGCATTATATATTTTAAAGACATTTTTCATTTCTTTGGGCTGCCAGATGTGCTGCTGATACCTTCTGATCTTAGATAGTTTGACATTGATTTCCCTAACACACGCCAGGGTTGAAATCTGGTCTGTAACTCATCCAAATGATCTATTCATAACAAAAAGTGCCTTCTGGCAGTTGTACCACAGCTGAATATTGTTAAACTGAATTCATCATTTCATTTGTTTCTGATTGCTCTATAATGTTTACATATCTTACATATTAGTATGATCTTTTATAAAGTACACACTGAGGTTAAATCCTCCCAGACGGAACTTTTTTTCTCCTTTTTCTCCCTTTCAGAAGGTGTTGAACTCTTTTTGCCTTCAAATGAGCAGAAATCTTGGAAATGCTTAATGTTCATCTCATCTGAAATGATGGGCCGAGCAAGTAGGAATGTGTGTGTTGGGGAGACTTGGGAAGGTGACATTTTCCTGCACAAAAGGGTTCTTCCACAGATAGAATAACTGTGAGGTGGAGTTGCTTGTCCAAGTATAATAGTTCTGTAAGTAAGCATCATCACGAATGAGGGCAATAGTCTCCATATGAATATGTTCAACTAAAATATTTATAGGTAGGTGCTGCTTATGTCTCAAAGTGTGAATAGGTTCAGATTCTTCTCATCTCCCATCTTCAAATTCCAAATTGTTGTGCAGAGATTATTCTAGTGTCTGTGTTTCAGTTTCACTACATGTAAAAAATAATAGATGTTAATATGCCTCACAATAGGAGTGTGCCACAGGATGAATTTTAAGTTAAATAGAAGACAGAAAATCAGAGGCTCCCTTTGAATACTTATTTTAACTTTCAAAGAAGGATGACATCTCTTATTTGCTTTAAAAATAAAAAACAATTGCCCATAAATCTAAAACAGATGTTGTTTCTCTACTAAAAAGATTAAGGATTTTCTTAAGCTCATTAAAGGAAAAAAAAAAAGCCACCACATTGATGCTCCTATATCATCATAAGAATGTCTGAACGCAACAGAAAGCTATGAAAAGGACTTGGTATTAGTGTAACAAAAATAGCTCTGAGTCTGGCAAATTGTGCTTATCTTCTGGGTTCTGCGGCAAACTGTGCACTATTTCTCCAACCTTACGCTTATGTCTAGTCATGTATTTTAGTGGGATTGGGTGTATGTATACTCAAACAGAATTTGGACTTTTTATTAAGAAAATACAAATGCCAGCTGCTGCATGGCTTGAAAAACTTAAGCATCATCCAAGTTATTTCAAGGAGGGGAAATGGAAACCATTTGCTACTTCTTATGCATATATCTACAGAGGAATGTTCAAACTATTGCTTCTCAAAGGTTGTGAGTCTCTTTTGGGGAGTACGTTATTTACCAATTTTCTTACTTTCCATGTGCATCAAAACCCTGAGTCTACAAAATGTGAATTAAACTCTTTAAGTGGAAGGCAGAGATGGGAAATCTGATGATGCCGTATGCAGTACCAATAAAGCCCAGCATGATGGCCAATGTTCTTTATTCCAGTTAAAAGCTCCCATAGCAAAAAAAAAAAAAAAAATGGTAACCTAGTACCCTACTGGCTATATTCACCAGTGTGGCGATATGCAACTCCTTCGTTTGCTCTGTTTATGTGTTGAAAGTTTGCTGGAATGCGTACAAACGGTACTTCAGTAGTAAGATGATAGGAAAGTCTTGGTGTAATTTGAGAAGACCCAGCACGGAAATACCCTGTCCTGGCAAATTCCTGTGGGTGTCCAAAATACTAGGGCAAAAGTACTGGCTCCAGGGAGAGTTTGGTCTTTTAATCAATCTAAGCCTTTCAGTGTTATCAGACATAAGGGAAAATTTGGTAAGTTGTGGACTAATGACAGAAGAAAAATTTTTTAATTTTTTTTTTTTTTCCAAGTACATCGTTCTTCTCAATATTTAGAACTTCCTGTGATTTCACAAAGCATCTTGGTGCCTTTAATATCCTTAGACTATTTGGTTTCTTCACACTATATAGCAGTTGGGTTTTAAGCTTGACACATCTGTAGCTAGAGTCTTCCTTCAGAAATCACAATAGAGTACAGAATACCACAAAGTTTGCTGCATCAAAAATATTTTGAGATGAGACTTCAAAAATCCAGGCCCCTTCTGCCCTAAATGTTCCTCCCCACCTGTAGAGACATGTGTTGTTGTCTCCACAGCTATAGGATGGGAATGAAACAAGGACTCTTGGATTCTTGGCAGGCTTCCATTGCTAGTTCGGAGCAGATACTAACTGGGAATTTTGACCTTAAGCTGTGTTCTTAGTAAGGTCAGCGATGTGGAATTGGTCTAAAAATCAGGTTATTTTAGGATTTGCTTTCTGTTGCACTTCATTTTGTTACTGAAATTGTAAAAGAAGGCTTGCCCCATAGAAGTGTTGAAAACTCAAAGCTGTATTAATTTGTAGTTTTAAGAGAAAACAAAACAAAACCAAATGTCTTTGCAATGTTTTTGACGTAGCTTCGTCCACTTGGAGTCATAAATGCCTTTTTAAATTCAGTGCAGCTACTCTTGCTCTTTAATGGGTTTAGCCAGCCAAAATCTTACGCAGACACACAGACATATGTGCATGCATACATCGTTAGCAAAAGTAAGTCAGTGCGTTAGAGCTGATAGGGGAGAACTGAGCAAGATTCTTGTACTTGTTAGATGCGTTCCTAAGAGAAGTCAGGATTGCTTGAAACTGTAGTGATGTATTTTGAAAAACAAGTTTTTGTTGGTTTTTTTCCCTACTTCATGACAAGAATCAGCTGTAATGTAAGTTTATGGCTTGAGCAGACTATTGTTTGTGCAGCAACCTCCCTGCTGGTGTATTTACTAAACATGTGGGATGCACAAATGCCAGCAAACTGCATCTTGGAGCATATTCCCTAGTTGCTAGCAAAAACTGTCTTTAAAGTTTGGCCTATTTAAATACACGGAGAATGTGCATCAAGTTTAACAGGAACAGGCCTGAATTTTTAATTACTCCTCCTCAAAACTATTTTGACAGGAAATCTGGGCCTTGTTGAAATCAATAGCTAACCTCAAGCATCCTTTAATGGGTCTAGAAATTTGCTAATGAAGAGCAAGGTCTAAATACAAAAAAACATTGTCCCATTGACCAAGACCTTTCTTTTTTGCTCTTCCAGCATTGTAAACATACAGACTGATTTTGTTAGAGAATTCTCTTGTTTCCTCCTCTTGGAGCATCTCCCACCTTCTAGAGAACAGCAGTTGCAGATTTAACCTTCCCATTAACATGGACTAGTGGGAGGTGAATCCATGCATCGTGTGATAGCGTAGGACTGCATGGCTGCGTATACCTCAAATGTATAAATCTGTTGGTCCTGGAAGAGAAAACATGAATCATGCCTCAAAAAGAAGACAGGTAGCCTGCCATGGGAGTGGATGACCTGTCTTCTCCAGCCCCCACTGCAAGAATTATTAATGTGTTCAACCAGAGCAGAGTACATAACTAGTCTTTGTAGCAAGTACCAAGTTCTCCAGACGCATTCCCCGGCACGTGCTGCACCTTACCGGCCAGACTAGATAGCATACCTCCTTACACTTTCTTTCTGGACCAGAAAGGAAGTCTAGAAAGTCTATCTAGTCTATTGAAAGTGGAACAGCCTTAGAAGAGGAAGGAAAATGTCCTCCACCCTCAAAAACTGGTAATTTGCATTTTCTGAAGCAGATAAAGGAAATGAACCAATGTCTCCCACATCCTGAGTGGTCTAACCACTAAAATATTGCATAGGAGCAGGATATCACCGTATATGTGAGTGTAGCGGTAGAATACAATCCTGTTCAGTTTGGATGGTAGTGCTTAGATATCTGCCTTGATGAAAGGGTTCACAGGTGCGAAGGAAGGAGTGGTTTGTGTAAAGCTAAGCCTAAGTAAGGGGCAGAATCTAATGTTTACCCAGGCAAATGTTTCCTATGGGCTAACACAAGCCCATGTTTGCAGCTTCTACCCAAGGCACCTAACTCTCCTGACAGCGCTGTGAGGTCACTGCAGCTTGTGATTCCACTGCAAACCTTTGGAGTTGATGACAGATCACAGGAGACCTTGCTGTCAGCAGGCTTCCCTCCCCCTCGATTCTTAACTCTGAAGACGTATAGGATAAGTGCTCTGTAAACACTGGTTGCCGATTAGATTGGCTATATTTTCTGATGACAGTCAAGCAGAGTGTTGTATCCAACTGTTCATTCTAAGTAAGGTGTTTTTCTAAAGAAACAGGATGGTTTCTCTCTCCCTGTAAAATACAGTCCTGTTCCTGAAATTTCTTACTTTCTGCATGGCCAGACCCAGCTGTTCCGTAAGTGGGAGTGAGTGGGGGTGTTGTACAATCAGTAGCTGCAGCTGTGTCGTCCCATCTAAAAATGATGCAAATGGGGGACATATTTCTCCACATTCTCCTTAGAATAACTCTACCTATACGTCTCCACTCATGTTGGGAACTCCAGTGGAGGAGCAGGAATCATTTCAGTACTGGACTCTGATAGCTGCCAAACTTTAGTTGTGAATTACCTGCTTTGACAGGTAGTTTGATTCACAAGAGCCTTCTCTTGCTTTTTCAGGTCAGTGAAACACCCATTTTTGTGCCTGGTGTTTGGGGACCTTATTTCTCTGCAATGGTACCTGGATTGTGGTTGAACGAAGGAGGTCAAAGTGCTACAGGGAAACTGGTAAGTGTTTGGAGACGCAGACTGACTCGGGATAGCTTCACTCTCAATTCACCAGAGCTCTGCCTGAAACACCTTGGGGAGATCGTAGGAGAAACCATGCTGCTGAAAGCGATGAACAATTAGTTGATCGTTATGTCTCTTATAAACTGTTCATTTGCATACTGATGGGAGATTATATATGGGGCAAGCACTAAGGGTGCGTCTTCCTCTTATGATGATGGTGATTATTATTATTATTTTACAGACAAATGGGCATTCATTCTTAGCAGGAGGCTAAGATAGACTTTGAGATAAAGAACATGATACATATTGTCTTGTATAGAACAATTGTGCTCATTGATGGGCATAAATGAAAGATGTGTTGTATGGACAGAATAGTAATATATTAACATGTTATCCTGTCTAGATAGATACTGCATATATCGTCACCTCAATTCTTTCCTTGAGTGCAAAGACTCTGACTATATTAGGTTAACTTAATTTATCAATAAAAATTAAAACCAGACTGGATTCTCTAAAAAGGAATTTTCCTATTTAGAGGGAGGCAATCAGAACTAAAACACTGATGTCAAATTTAAAGAAAGGCTACATGTATAAAACAGTATTTAGGCTTGAGTCCAAAAGTGTCAGCAAGACCTTAGTGGCTGCTTAACCCCGGAAGCTTCTAAAGCTCCCTGCGTATGTCCCTACTCAGTCTGTAGAAATACTGACTGCCCTTAGGGGTGAGGTGCCAAGCTCCTCTTGAGAAACTACAGGAGGTGGGCCCGATCCTGTGGGTATTCTCGTTAAGCTCATCAAACACACAGGCAGGTTTGGTCTTTCACAAATTGCAGGCATAATTACTCTCTTACTCAGACCTAGCACCACCCACCTTTTTAAAAGCCTAGTGATCGGAGTACATGTCCAGGAAGTAGTAGACTGGGGCATCATTGCATTTATACATTCCATATGGAACAGTCACTGAATGAGAAACAGAAATAATCCTGGATCAGGAAGCCCCGACACACCCTGAGCGCTGAGCTATGAACTGGTGTTCCCTCCTGTGCTCTCTCCTTGGCCACGTGAATCTGACATTCCTCTCTGTATGGTGTCACAGCCTCAGTGGGAGAGTCATCATCCCTCTTCCTCTCCTGCAAGCCTCTGCTTCCCATCCCATTTCCAACCCATCCTTAGTCTTCTGGCTAAAGCACTCTCGCAGCAGGTGGGATGTGTGTGCTTTAAATTTTTCAGGTCAAGATACATGCATTAGAAACAAAGTGCTAGATGCTAGAACCAAAGTGTCCCATTTTATAGGTAACTGCTACAACCAGAACTAAAATGAAATTACTGCCTATAACACCACCACTTTAAAGGGGAAATAGCAAATCTTGTGTGTTTCTTTGGGAGAACACCTTTGAGAGGAAAAGTCTGTATGTGCTTAATCCAAAGCAAGTAAAGACACTTAACTAAGCTCTGGAGAGGACACAGTAAGTCAATGTTTTTTCTTGGCTGGCTCAGGGTGATTCCACAGTTAAAACGTACCATGAGAGTTAGGGCATTTCAGAAAGACGATTTTAAAAATCCTTTCCATTCTGGTACCAGAGAACAAGACATTCCTGAGTCATTAAAGAAATTGCTGGAAAAAATGCATGGTCTTGTTAGGACACATAGCAAAAGTCAGCTCTGAGTACTGTTAGGTATATTGGGGAATCTGTCTTATTAAAACATTCTTAGAATATCTCATGTGGTTTTCTTGAAGTTGTATGTACTGAAAACACATAGGGGGAGCCATAGGAGGACATGTGCACTGTGTGGAGAATAGGTTGCATTCATTAGCTGTGTAATTTTAAAGCTGTAGCCTTTTTAAGATCCTGCTTTCTCATACTTCAAGCTTTCTGAAAACAAAAAAATGGTCATGTGTTGGGATTCTTTTTATTGCTTGATCTATGCCCAAAGGTGAATTCTTTTCATGAAATTTGAACAGTCTGTTGAACCTCTTAAAAGTAAAACTGATACACTTCCCTTTAAAAATCTCTAATTACTTCTTTTTATTGATACAGCTGTGAAAAAAGTCTGTCAGATTTTGAAAACTGGTTCAGATAGAGTCCGAATGAAGAATTAAGAGCTCCGCTTGTTTTGAAAAAGCTTGTTTGTTTGTGTATTAGATTGGCTTTTACACTGGATTCTCAAAATTTATAGGAAGAAAGATATTGCACAACAGAGACAAAAGACGGCATGACATCACTACAAACTGTAAAATAACGAACAGCAGAAAGGGGTTTCTAGCTGCAACCTTCATGTGGCCATGTCTTGAATTAAGGGCATTTAAATATCTAACTTCGTAACTTGCGTAACATTTTTGTGTATTTTGTTTTCATAGCACACACGTATATGTGATATGCATTTATAGATTTATTTCTGAATTTATGAGCTGCTCCTGTGTTCTAAAGAGATTATGCAAGGTTGCAAAATTCAGGCCTGAGCTTTGTTTCTAATGCATGCACATGTTTGAGTTTTGTCTTTGATGCAAATCTCAGAAAGAACAGGCATGCATTTTTTTTATTGCTATGTTCAAATGTGTGTGCTTCATTATATGTTTTCCTACACTGGTTAAGGACTAGACTCATGCTGTTAAAAATTAAATACCTAATGTGGTTTGCTGCCAATAGGTATTGCCAAATATACTCAGTGCTCTTGAGTAGCTCTAGTTTTGCCTCCTGAGCTTTTCCTGTCACCTCTGATGGGATATTAAGAAGAGGCCACAAAACCTGCTGAAATACTGTCTTAAAAGCCCATGTTATTCTACCTGATACTCTGTTTTGTGAGTAATGGTAGCCACTCTGAGGTGAAAGGACAAGCTGATTTATAAATTTAGTATAAGACAGAGCCTATATTGATCTTTTTTTATAGCAATAATTGCTTGTCAGGGTATACATTTTGTTTCCTGCAATGAGCATATAGAGCATCTATCAGGATGACAACACACCTTGTGTTTTATTATAACAGTGTGATATAGAAAGATGTAGAGATTTGGGCCAAGAAGGTGTTCCTGGTAGAATTCCAATGAGGGTATACGTGCAAAAGAATGGGAGAGACTAGAGGACATGCTCTCAGGTAGTGTTGGACAGAAAAAAGTGATCCTTTCAGCCTGCTCTTCTGACTGAGGACCTGCATGCTTAGCATTTTGCCTATTTTTGGTACAGCATTGGTTGTTTTTTCTTACTGTTTTTTAAGCCAAATCCTGAATCCAGTAATGTCAGTGGGAGATTTGCCATTGACTTCCGTAGGACTTAACACCTCATGAGTAATTTAGAAGCTCTCTTGTCTTTTTAAAGTTATGACACTGCATTACCCTTTTCTGGGACTGAGTTTTTAAGATGTAATCATCCCAAAAATGTTGCTTTCCTCTTTTTCAGATAGATCATGTGGTCCGCAGCCATGTCGCCTTCCCGGAATTACAGTCAAAAGCTGCAGCCAGGTCACTGTTCTTATTCCTTTATCACATACCTGCCTTACAAATTGATGATATGCTGTATTCCCAGCAGTGCAGAATTGCACTGCTGCATCCTTCTTCTGAAACAGGGGAATTAACAAGTCTGATAGTGGGTTGGAAGTATTTACAAAGGCTTGCCAGGTGATTGCTCAAAGATGAAAGCTTTAAACTCCCCTCAGATACCTTCAGTGTATCTAAGTGGTGACACTAATGTTCTGCTTTTCAACTTCTTTTATATCCAGCCCAGGGTATTTCTTGATACCATAGCATCAGTCCTGTTCAGCAGACCTTTATGCCTTGGGCTAATGATGTGTCTTAATTTGTAGGCGACACTTTTAAGCTCCAAGGATGAGATGTAGCTTAATTAAGAATACATAATTATTTTTTGAACAGTCATCTAAAGGACCGTATAGCCACTCTATGAAAAACTCCTGCATGGCAGCGCAAACAGAACAGAGAAACCCAGGATGAATTTCCAGACAAAGCTTAAGACGTAGGAGTGAATTGGAGGTAACTCCAGGATTCCTTGAGCAGGAAGCTGTGTGCGATGTGGAATTTTAGTTTGATCTGCTTCAGAAGTGGATGAAGACAGTCCAGACACTTCTGTCAGATCTGGACTTTCTCAAGCTATTTTGGCTTGGATTCCTTTAAAGATGGTTCACATCACTCCCAGAGAGATCTTAGCTGAACAGTTAGGCGCATTGGATGAAAATTTGATTCGCTTTTAATTTCTTTTTCCTCCTTAGCTTAAAGAAAAAAACCACCAAACTTGGCATTTTGTCTTCAGTTTATCACTCTGACCTAAAAGGCAAGGGTCAGTCCTCATAGATGTATTAAGCACATGCAGTTACACAGTTATTTTCAGTCCTCCCTGGGGGGATACAGCTACCTGGTTTGTCTGGATGAGCCTTCCATGCTTTGTAGTGCCCAATGCCTTATTTGTTTGTTAAGAACTTGACCAGGATTCCCAGAAATGTATTGGACATCATTCAATATGAAATAGATTCACGCTTCCTAGAATTCTCTTTGTTGTTCTTTAAGAAAGGAAATCAGGAAATAAATGCATCTGTGTATGTTTGGAATAAGGATTGATCTAGGTTTTTTTCTAAAATTTTGGCTTCCAGGCCATTTTTCTGGTGCCCCCATATAAAGTACAAGCATAAGACAAACAATTAGTCTGTAATGCCAGGATAAACCATTTTTTTTGTGTTGGAAAAATGAATATAGAGTAACCTGCTTGTCTATGCTAGATCTGATGCTGAACTGACTGACCACAACTAATTTCATAGTGCAAAAAGCTTGGATTGTGATGTGAATAGGACACCAAATACAGACTATTGGGAATAGAACTGCATGTTATCCGAGCGTATGGTGTCATAACTTTGGATTTGAGTCTCCTGTGGTCAGTAAAATTGTGGAAGACAGCATTGATAAAAATGATTATAATATTTTACTAAAAGGGTGATAATATTTTATAAAGTTAATTTGCTCAATGGTATTTTTATAATGCTTTCCAGATATTACTCTCCTAATGAAATGTTTGGAATAGCTATAAATGTAATAAACAAATCTCCTATTAATTCCCCCATCCCCTTTCTCCCTGTCCTTTTCAAATATTCGTTAGAGAATTTAATTTGAACAAACAAAAAGAAACCAAACAAAATGAGAATTCTTTTTTGAAAGAAAACAAAATGAGAATTCCATACTTACGTGTGTAATTGCATAATACCTTTACTTCCCATGCTAGGTGCAACACAGTGAAGAGTTAGGCTGGTTTCATAGTGACAAAAAGCACTTGCATGTCTGGATCATTACAAAGCAACATCTGAGGTCACAAATCTGTGCTTCTTACTTGCTGCTGCCTATCACCTACTTCTGCCTTCCCAAGCCTGTCTATCCTTTCTCCCAGGCTTCCAATGCTGCTAATAAGTAGGTTTGGCAACGGCAAACTGCCTGCTGAGCAGCTGATCTCAGAAGCTTCACTTGTGCGGACTTCTGTTCCTTTGCCTAAACCGGGAGCAAGAGTTTGCAAGCTGCATTTATCACTGTTTCAGTAATTTGTGGTAACTTGTTAAGGCATTGAGTGGCTTAGACAGACTTGCCAGAAACCAGCTCCTACTGACCGCTCATGCTGAAGACCAGTCTTGTGCAACCCCCCCAGTACTATTCCTGTGTTCTCTTTTCCCTTCTTTTACTGGAAGTGGACAGGGTTGAATTACATGAGGAATGTCTGGAGAATTTAGCATTTGGTCTAACTCATTGGCATACCCTGTGAGCAACAAACCTTGGCGTTTTTCATGCAGTTCCGTGAGTTGCAGAAATTGCTGTGTATATAGCACTTTTGGTCTTCAGTCTATATATTATGTAGGTCTGACATCTAGCCATCACTGATAGATTAAATCCTATATAGGTAGGATAGAGTAGGAAATAAAGAAATAATATGATCATTTATGTTTTAAAGTTTAAATACTTCTGTTTCCTAGAATCACAGTTTCTAATCTGAAATGCACTTTGGTGCTTTGTGAAGCGCTGTGTTTTAGGACAGAATTTCTTTTCCTCACTTCTTAATGCCATTTCCCATCTGAAGAGATGTCTCCTGAAAAAAAGCGTTGAAGTTACACACGCAGTATCCATCAGCAATTCTGGGATCTTTCAAGCAGAATATAATAATCGTATTTGGCAGTTCTCTGTACATCTAGATATTTCAGAGCCCTTTTTTTTTTTTATTTAGAAATCTAACATTTTTAGACTTTTTTTCCTGAAAGATACCTGCTGGCATCTTCCAGGATTCCTAAACAGATTAAATACCAATTTCTTGTTCCTTTCTGAATTTATGTCCCAAATACGAACATAACCCTGGGCAAACTTGCATTGATTTCTTGTTCTCCACTTTCAGCATAGTTCCTTTTTAATAGCAATAGCTTGTGCTCAACTCTGCAAGTTAGATCCAGCTGCTATGATACCTCCTCATAGAACTGAATAGAAAAAGCTGATGGTGTAATACTACGTATAACACAAACATGGCAGAAACTGGAACTGGCAAGTGTTTGAAGGATTTTGCCACTCAGTCCAAATGAACCTATGTCTATATGCAGGGGGTGGGGGGGGGGAGTAAAAGATGTGAAAAGAATAATGTAATTCCAAGGTTATGTGGGTCTTAAGTATATTTGGCTGAACTTCAGCCTCTTTTGCACAGTCCTTGTGTTCTGTCAGAGCTGCACGAATGGCTAATCCTTGTGAGAATGATCAAGCAGGATGGAGATCAGATAGAAGATGGGATGTCTGGTAGGTCTGTGGTTGAGTGAAGCTTTCCTTTCTTTTCCTTCCCAACAGTCAAGCCATGATTTAGACTGGAAATAAAATCACTTTGTCCTTAGCGTGTACTGCTTATACTGCAGTCATTTGGGATGTAGAAAACAGGGCCACTTTTACAACAAGGGGAAAAAATGATTGTGACCTTAAAATTATCATAATTCAGGTCCAGGAAGACACATAAAGTACATTTTAAAGTACGTGAATAATGATCTGAATTAGTTATTTTAATGTCTTCCAAGTGTACTTCATTTTGAATGATATCCTCTGATATCATTACCATATACACATGGTAAGGTATAATTGAAAAAACATGCAGCTGAATGGTTGAATGCAAAGTATAAATATACAGCTGCTAGCAGGTCAGAAGTCAAACTAGTAAAGCATATGCCAAATTCCCTTAGGGATCTCATTAGTGCATGATTGAATATACATGTAGAGGCTAAATGAATATCACTGTTTGGGTCTACAGTGGATGAGACAATGACTAATCAATTGTAATTAGGGTTAGATGCTATTATTGACCCACATATCTAGAATTAAAAGCCCCACTTGAAGATTTCCAAGGAGTTGAAAAATATATATGAATCTGTTTATGATAGTATGAGCATTTGAAAAAATGTTGTAAGCATAATTGCAACATTTTTTAAATGGAATGTCACTAGAGTCATTGCAAGCCAAAGCACTGAAGAATTCACCGTTAGTCCTAAGATTACTCGTGGTCCAGGAAAAAGTCTGTTGGATGTTGTGGAGTTGGGTGTAGTATCTGAACTTAGATACAATCATATTTAGGCCCATGTTCGGCTCCTCCCTAAAATAGCAGCCACTTGCTTTCTCTCCTCCACCCTTAGTGCTGCATTTTAATCATAACACACACTGAAATAATTATGGTTTAAAAAAGGAAAGCTAGAAGTCCAGCGCTCTTGATTAATCAGAGAATTTTTTAAACATTTGTAAAGGAATTTGATTTTCATTTTTGTCTGGAATCCTCCTTATTCCTCTCTCTCAGCTCTCTCTTCTCTAGCTTTCTCTTTCACAGTGTCAGCACCTTTCTGTTCGAGACAAGCATCATCAGCCCCCAAAATATCAAACAGCTTCCTCATGTAGGGACCCGCAGGAGGCAGTGTACAAGCTCAAGATCACCAGCTGCCTTTATCTCCCCTCGTCCTGTGAAAGTGAGGAATCCAGATGCCCCGTGGAATGGCGGTGCAGATAGAGATCCCCACTGCCCGCACCCTGTGACGCCATGGGCTTGCCAAGCACTCGGTTTTGCCTTTCTCCCCCTTTCTTTTAAATTTGGGATTTGACGTTCTTTGATGGGTTTTCTGCATTTGATGGTAGTACAAATGTTTTATGTTTGATGAATAACCTCCCCCACTCTTTTTCCAACTTGTTTTTTTTCCTAGTGCTCACAGTATATATACATACTTGAACAGTCACCTGGATCTGATTAAGAAATCTTTGCCTGTGGGTTTCCTCACTGTTGATTTACATGTTTGGCCAGATTTCCATGGTAACAGATCTCCCTTAACAGATCTGACACTAAAGGGCATGGTAAGAAACAGCCTGTCTTTGCAAAAAGGTCAATACAGGGTAAAAAAAAAAAAAAAATCTTGGAAGGAGCTTTTTTCCAATTTTGAGCGTCCTCCTCCTTAGCTATTTAAACTATCCCACAGGATTTGGGTTTCTTACTGCATTCAAAGTGTGCTAATGTTTCAGTAGAAACCCAGAGATCATTATAGTTTAGATATCACTACAGCCACATTTATTTTCTAAAAATAAGTGTTGTGTATCTCCCAGTATCTTTCCTAGGAATCACATTTCATGACTAACAGCGCTTGCTGTTGTTAACTCACCTGTCTACCGAATTTTGCGTATCTGTTGCAATGAATTTCAACACAAATTTCGGTATGCCTCTCTGGGAAAGGAACGAAATATTCTGAGGAGAGATTGCTTGATTTAAACACATAAATGTTCAGTAAATGTGCTGTATTAGTTGTTGGGTAGTAAATTTCAACAGAAACTGAAAAGCTCCTCTGCTTATTGTTAAAAATGGGCATACATGCTCTCACGATTAGAAATATGCAACCATAGTGCTTCATACATCTTTGTTCAAAGCTAAACCTGATCTGCTTCTGGCTTGGGGTTTTAAAATTGCTACTTTTGGAACTCAAAGGGCTTGAAATATTGTGTTCTGTACAAAGAAATTTTCAGAGCGTTGCAATCTGGAACTAGAATAGGCAGCTTTTGGAAGCTCACCAGAGAACCTCTGCTGGGGAGATTTTCAGCCCATCTTTAAATGTTTGGATGTTTCTTTTCACTGAACTTCATGGTGGTAGATCAGCTAGGTCACAAGCCAAGATGTTACTGTGCAGGACTACAACAGAAGAATATCATAAGGGTATAATTTGATGACATCAAAATACCTGGTGATTAATGCAAAAATGTACTTCAAAATGGCATATTGTCCTTGAAGTGAGCATCTCCAGCTACTCACCAGCACCAAAACCTGCTGTATTTGAGGTTGAGGTAGGAAAGGGTAGGTGTAAGCACTGCAACACGTTTTAAACCACAAATGAGGGAAACATTAAAAAAAAAAAAAGCTTATATGTTTTTGGGTCCTGTATTATTTTGTGAAAGAATTATATGCTGCAGCAGAATCAGAACTTCCTTGGTATAATGGCTATATGCAAATAACTGGTAATAGCAACACATTTTTTCTACCACAGTTATGGCTGCATTCAAGTCTTACTTATGCTGATATTAATCCAGAGTAACTACAAGGCAGAATTGATTTATGTCAGAGGAAAGGAGGTTAAGATATAGTCTTTAATTATTAATTGTGTTTCAGTGTTAGGGTGCTTGGAAGGGAGGGGCAGAAATGCTTTTAAAAAGTTATTTTTATGTAATAGCATTTTCATATTAGTACATTAAATACATTCACGAGCAATATCTGAGTCATAACATAAAACTGTCAGAGTTAATCTATCTCTAATCCCATACAATATGCTGTTTGTTCTTTATTTCTTTGCAAGGGCAAGAACAATTTATGTGGTTCTTCCCCAGATCAGGAATAACATGTTTAACATAACATTATGCATACAGCTCAGAAAAGTAGTGCTTAGAATTAGCACTTAAAACTTGTTACAACAAGAAACCATAGAAAATAATAGAATTTTACTTTGGCTGGATTTGTACATTTTCTTTTTGATCTTTGCACAGGTTGTTGGACTAACATTGTCGCGGGGTCTGGATGAACTTGCCCTTATCTACTTGGCCACGATTCAAGCCATTGCTGTAAGCCATTTTAAGTGCATAAAAGAATAAATGAATTGTCTCGTGTTCTGTAGCAGACTGATCATTCCCTTCTGCTAAACAGATTTCTAATAATAGATGAATTCACTTAATGGACTTCTTAAAGGAGCAAGATATTGTTTACTCCCATTGGTGACTACTCCATACTGTAGGATAATTGACAGCCAGACTGAGGAGAAGATGTTCCCCTGAAAAGTTTTCTCCTTATGGCAATTCTGTAAATGGAACCTTTGCCTCTAGTGCAGATGTGAGGAAAGAGGCTGATACTATATGGGGCAGTGTTAACAGCATGGGCTGTCTAGAGGGAAGCTGAGAGAATGGAAAAAAAAAAAAAAAAGTCTTTGGCAGTTGTATGAAGGAACTCACGCTCCCCTAAAATGCCTCAGCTTCAGATTGTTCCTAAATCCATGGATTTCCCCTGCTTGCCTGTTAGATGAGTCAGAACTCTGTACCAAGCGAGTTGGAGTGGGTCTGTGATTCAGTTCATAATGCTACAGACCGAACAGACCAGATCTCATTCCTCCCTCGGTTTCCTTGCTGCACGGCAAGCAGTTGTTTCGTGTGTAGCATTTCCAACCCGCGGCTCTGTTTCTGTAAATCAGACAGTCTTTATGAAAATGTCCTCGATGTTTGTTAACATGCAGAGATGGGTAATTTTATTGCAATACTTCTGTTTCTGCCTTCTTTTTCTCTGGAACCCAGGATTTCCAGTTCACAAGAAGTTCTATTCTGAAGTGAAAACCTGGGTCAAAGAAGTTGTTTTGAAACCCTGGTGCAGGGTATTTTCAATGGGGCGTGCCATCCCCAGGCATTTGGTGACTGAAATCACATTCCTTTGACATCCTTTTTGTGGTGGGTTTTTTTTTTGTGTTTGTTTTTTAAAGTTTGTTGAACTTGAGGTGTTTTTGCAAAACAGTTTGATGAATTGGGGAGTTTTCCTGACAAAACTCGGTTCATTTGGAAAACTTCCAAACTCCTCTACTGGTTAAACAACAACTTTGCTAGGCTGGGTCAGCCATCTGGGATATAGAGGGTGGGCGGCTGCTGTAAATTTGCTGTGAATTGTACATCTTATGTGTTAACCCTCCCTCTTCAGCAAATAACAAGAACTTAACCCCAGCCTGGAATTCATTGTTGTGAGTTTTGATCCTTTTTAAGATGAATGTAGCTTGGTTCTACCTGATGCTTCAGTATAATCCCACCATTTAAATAAGAATGTCTAGGAGAGTTTAAACAATGCCAGCGACTGATACTGCCCCCCTGAAAGAAACTTTCCAGTATCAAACAGGTGCTCCGTTATTGTATCATGCTAACGAAGTGGAAACGTTCTCTGCTGGAAATCCTGGGAAAGTCACCTATTATCTCATTATATGATACAACTCAAATTTTATCATAAGATGCAAATACTGGGTTGAACACTAAATTTGGCATCTGCGTATCTTTTTGATAGCTAATTGCACTGATCGTGAGATTTAATATAAAAACGCCATACTGCAATTTTCATTGCAAGTTAACGGAAATCCATTTTTCTTAAAACACTATTGAAACAGTAACTAAAAAATAGAGTAGACTTCGTTCTGACTTCATATATTTACTAGTTGCTGATGTGATACCCAGGAAATTTAATTTTCCTCCCATACTCCGTCACTCCCAATTTTAGCTTCTCTTTTGTTGAAGGAAACACTTCTTGTTCAGGACAGCCCCAATCCTGTACTGTTCACTGTCTTCAATGGGTGCCAGATAGACTTTAAATCTAAGTAAAAATCTTGTAAAAAGTGTAGGCCTGCCCACAGAATGTTAATCTCTAGTTTTCTTTTCAGCAG